CCTAAGGAGCCCGGTCTGAATGGCAAAGGCCCTGGTGATTTAAATCCCCCCCCCTCCTTTGGCATGAACAGGCCTGCCACTTTTTTCCGGCTCGGGGCTTTGCCGGCAAAAAGCGCCAGTCTAGACGTGGATCTTTCGGAAAATAAAGCCTTTTCCGAAAGATCCCTTATTCCTGATTTTAAGAATAAGCTTTTTGCCGGCAAAGCCCTGAGCCGGAAAAAAGCGGCAGCTATGTTCATGCAAATGAAGCGGGGGAGTTTTTAATCCCTGCTTCATTTGCAATTGCGCTGTGTCTAATCTGCATCCCTTTTACGGAAAAGGGGTGCAGTCTAGACACAGCCTCGGTGTAAAAGAGCCAGAAACTGAACTGATTTCCTGGCTCCCACTTCTATCTTTAAATATAAAAACAATGTAAATGTTTAATTGCATGGAATTGGTTTTCCCTTCTTGACTGATTTATTTTCCTTCTTATATTAGTGCAGGAACCCAATCTTATCTCTTTCATGCTCTCTACTGGTTTCTCATTGAACACAGAGCCCATGCTGACCTCTGTTCTGCTATTGATAGCATCCACAGGAATAACTGGCTACCTATCAGACTGTCCCTCCCTCCACAGTCAGGACCTGCCATGACAACTTAAGTTCTACCCAAACAATGGCAGTTGTGTAGAAGACAGAGCTTTCATGAGAGCTAGCCAAGGACTGTGGAACTCACTTCCACCTGAGCTCACTAAGTGCCTTCAATGCAAACTGCAAAACTCACCTCTTCATGTTAGTTTTCACTCAATGATTTCTTCACACATAATGCAATGCAATAATGCTTTATTGGCACGACAAGCTGGCAAGTGTAGCCAAAGTATAATACAGACAGGCCCCACGAGTATCTGTTAGAGGTAAGTGTGTGTGCACACACACTCTATAAACCAGTCAAGCTATTTTTCCTACAGGCTGGAAAAGGAGGGGGGGGGGAGAGAATGCACGTGTAGTGTTCTCATATCCATTTAGAGTACTCAAAAGAAGCTTAGATCCCATTTTGTTAGTATGGGCCAAAAACTACCCAAATAGCTTTCCCTTTTTCCCTTTCTTCCTTCCCCCTCCTCTCTCATCTAGTTTCCATGACACTTGGAACTATCCCTGGTTAGCATTACACACCTGGATTACATACCCAATTATGTCAGTTAGGGGAGAGTGTATGTTTTCACCAGTGTGGTTATATTGGCATAATACCTGCTGTGGATGTAGTTATACCCATATAAAGATTCCTTATTACCTGTATAGTTAATTCTTCTTCCCATACTGGAATAACTATACCTGTATCAACACTTTTATAGCAGTATAATTGCGTCCACACATGGAGGGACATACCACTTCATCTATTCCTTTAGGCTACGTCTACACTGCAGGCTTCTTGCGCAAGAACTTTTTTGCGCAAGAGTTCTTGTGCAAGAGTGCATCCACACTGCCATGTGCTTTGCGCAAGAGTGTCAATGGCAGTGTGGACACTCTCTTGTGCAAGAAAGCTCTGATGGCCATTTTAGCCATAGGGTTTTCTTGCACAAGAAACCGCTGTTGCCAGTCCACGCTGCCTTCTTGCGCAAGAGGGCTTATTCCTTGTGGGGAGAGGAATAACTCTTGTGCAAGAAGCCCTCTGTTCTGATGCTTTACTGTAAATTTACTTGTGCAAGAACACACATGCAGTGTAGACGCTCCACAAGTTTTTGTGCAAGAACAGCTATTCTTGTGCAAAAAGCCTGCAGTGTAGACGTAGCCTTACATTTTAATCAGTATAACTTTTATAAGTAAACAAGCCATGCAAGATGGGTTCATTAGCTTACCAACAAAATGGCAATATCAGGTCTCTCTGAGCACTTCTTTATCTGTTAGTCAAATACCATAGGGTGAGGTGGAAGGGGAGAGAGACAACTCAAGCAGGCAAACTAGTGTGAGCTGTGAAGAACCCTGCATCTATCTAGTTTCCCTTTGATGCAGTTATGGTTTGGATTTTGGAAGAAGGCAGCCTGCTCAAGAGAGACAGATCTGGTCAGAAATTATACCTTGTACCTGAGGAAATAAGCTAACTGCTGGGCTGATGGGAAATGCCAGCCTTTCACCCTCGAACCAAAAAAACCCCCACCATCCTACCAGATAAAGGTGTCCGATGTGCCAGCAGTCGAAATAAGAGTGAAGAGTACAATAGCATATGAAGAAATATTATTTTTCCCTTCTTTTGGAAAAGAGCGTATCACGTGATTTCTCTCTTACCCCTCTCTTTAACACACACAGGTTATGAGCAGTCGTTTCCTACCTTACGACAACATAGTCACAGATGCAGTGCTAAGCCTTGACGAGGACACCGTACTTTCAACCACAGAGGTAAGACCCATCCTCTTGAAACCTCTGTGGCTTTTCTGCCCATCCTCCTTCTTAGGACTTGTTTGCAATAGCGTGTGTGTGTACAAACAATGAGGAGTCTTAAAGACTAGCAAATTAATTTGGGCATAGGCTTTCATGGGCTGGAGCCCACTTCGTCAGATGCATATGAAATGGAAACTTCAGTTTGGCAGGTATCCTCCTCATTTAAGCTGAATCAGATTAATACAGCTACTGAAGTTTGTGTGTTATAATATTTCCTGCTTCCACCTCAGGTTTAATGTATTGCATTTGTCTCAAAAGTCTTGCTGCCACCTGCCAGCAAGAGAGCATTTTTTCCTGGTTAATTGGCATCATTAGCATGAGGTTCTTCCCTTTATCATTTTAGAACATAGGCAGGTAAGGGCATCTAATGGCAGTCTGTTTTAGCATTATCTTTCCGCTGTGCTGATCATGGTTCCTCCCTTTCCCACAGATTAGTTTCACTGATGGGACATTATTTCAGTTTTGAAGCCAGTATTTCTGCCTTGGTACAAGTGTTCTGATTTTCTCCGACACACACACGCACATGCACGCACTAACTATATCATTGTACTGCAGAGCTGGAGATGCATGATGGTTCAGATGTTCAGGAATTTGTGCCTGAGGCAAGATTGCACTAAAGAAAAAAAGGGGGAGGGCAGAAGGAAAGATTCTGAAGAAAACCAATTTTTATAACTGGGATGAGTATTGATTTCTGGAACCTTGTCCTGAAAACCACAGCGGAGACTAACGACTGTTTAGAAAGAGGCACAATATATTGGAAATACATTATTAATGGTAGCTATTGAAAAGCTTGGAGGCTTGATTTTCTTTTCTGTCTTCTGTTCCTTTCCCCCTCCTTCATTACATCCAGAATCATTTCCGTCTCCTCCCCCCTGCCACGGGGCTGCTCTTCCTATTGTCAACAGCCATGGCCCTTTAGGTGAAGCCAGTATGCAAGGTTCTCTTTAAGCTGTGCAGAAGCACGGCTTCGCAGCTGCTTAATCAGCCCCGCCCAGCCAAGGGCACAGGGCTCCACACACAGAGCTGCCTGGCTGGGGGAGGACCACCTCTACTTCAGTAACAACAGCAACTCCCCCTGCCAGGCAGATCCGGGCACAGAGTCCTGAGCCCCTGGCTGGGTGGGGCTGATTAAGCAGTTGCAGGGGCCATGCTGCTGTGCAGCTTAGAGAGCACTTTGCCAGTATAGCTTACATGAGGGCAGGGGTGCCCAAATTTGGCCCCACTGAGGCCAGGTTAACACTTAAGGGACAATGTCCAACTAATATACGCAACTCCAGCTATGTGACTAGCATAGCTGGAGTCAACATACCTTACCTTTGGCCCCTTTTTGGGTTAAAGAGATGGCAGAATGTTAATGTTTGCTTATTTTGTGAAATGATTTGTGAATTTCTTGGCATCATTTTCACTTCTCTGAGTTACTTGCTGCAAATATCCAAAATTGTGTGTGTGAGAGAGAGAGTGCGTGTGCTCCACAGGTCATTTGGGCCCCCGGCCTGCAATGGGAAATATATGGGCATGTCTAGGAGCCTAGGTACAAACCCATTTACTTCATTGGGACTAAATGTGGAGGCAGGGTTACATGGCTTTCTTTTGCAGATAGAGACCTTGATACTGTGTGTGTTCCCAGACTGGATGGCTTATAATCAACCCAAACTGCATTTTAAACATAATGGACTTGTTCAGAATCCCCTTTCAGATAACATTTGTACTTAAAATCCACTTTTCACAAGTGTTCATTCTAGGAAAAGCAAGCAAAAAATTCACAAGCACAATCAAGCTGACATTTCAAGTGTGAATAAATATTCACCAGACACATTTTCCACTCTTTGCTCAGCTCCAGTGTTAATACAGGTTTTTCGTTTATAATGCAATGAAGCATAATTTCTATTGTTTTCATTTCCAAGGGTAGCAGCCCAAAAGTGCTGCTTGGAGGGATATTTATATGGGAATTAATTAGAAATCAGTATGGGTTGGAAATGATATGGGGATTGAAGTGACTGGTTGCTTTTCCTGCTCATCAGCTGAGTGGTAATGCTTCTTAAAATTATCTAGGACGAGGAGTGGTTTAAGGGGATAAACTGTGGTTCATCTTCTCCTAGGGAGCTCAGCTTGTTTTAATACCTCTTTCTATTACAAGGACAGATATTTAAACAATATATGAGCGAGGACATAAGCTGTATTAGTAGTAGTAGTAGTTATTTGTAGATGTGGTTGGTTTATTCTTATTTTTCTTAACCTGAGATTCTCCAACTCATCTATAAGAAAACAGATGTCAAGTTTTACAGGAAAAGTCCTTAAGATTAACTTTAATACTTTTAATGTTTTAATATTTCCACTCCAATTCATCTGATGAAGTGGATTTTACTCATGAAAGCTCGTGATCTTATATATTTTTGATAGTCTCTAAGGGTGTGTCTATTCTACACTCAAAGCTTGAAATAAGCTGTGCAGTTTGAGCTATGCAAATTGTGTGGCTTATTTTGAGTCAATTTCAAAATAGCTTATTTCAAAATTTGGCGCTGTCTACATAGCACTTATTTAGAAATAAATAGCTATTCCAAAATGTCCCTTACTCCTTGTGGAATGAGGTTTATAGGGACGTCATAATAGTGAGCCCATTACAGGCAGTCCCCGGGTTACGTACAAGATAGGGACTGTAGGTTTGTTCTTAAGTTGAATCTGTATGTAAGTCGGAACTGGCATCCAGATTCAGCCGCTGCTGAAACTGACCGCCA